AGGGCTGCGGCCACCGCGCAGGGCACGGCCGCCGGCTGCGGGCCCAGGATCTCTGAGAGTGGACAGAGGTCCAGCTGTCTGGAGGGCGGAGGTGAGTTCTGGAGAGGGGGACAGGGGAGGAGGTTGCTGGGCTCCCCGGGTGGAGGAAGGCGTGGAGATTTGCCGCTGGGGCTGTGGGTAGAGACCCCAATACAAACTTCCTGACCCTGGAGAGCCAAGTTGGGGGACAGATCAGCAAGCCCCTTTGACCAGCTGGACTGCGAGTTCTGGAAGGCAGTTGGGGCAGCGACTGTGGGTTCCCATCTGGAGCTTGGGACCCCACACATGCTCTAGTGAGCGTGGGGGGTAGGAGAGACTCCTGAGTGCAAGGGTGGGGGGTGATTTAAGGCTGGGGGCTGCTCCGGAGACCCAGTCCAGTCCGTGTGGACACGCTGCCTAGGAGACCTGGGGCAGCAACTCTCCGCAGTGAGGACCCCAGGAGCCTGTGCCCCAGGAAGCTTCAAGAGTGACTCAGGTGTCACCGTTCTGAGCTGTGGCCTGGCTTTGAAACCAGGCCTCTGTGAAGCCAGCCTGGGGGGGTCCAGGTTGGGGAGATCTGGGCTTCCCCAGGGGCAGTGGAGCCTGTTTGTGAAGCAAGCTTGTAGAGGGAGGGAACTAAATCATGGACTGCCTGTGAGAGCAAAGGCAGCCCTGGAACCCCAGAAGTAAGGGAGGTGGAGGGGGGCTGGGAGCAGTGGGTAGGGAGGGGCTGCAGGCCCGGCTGTGTGTGGGACCGAGGTTGTTTGTGAACTGGCTGCTCCCATGAGGAGCACCCACCGGGTGGGGCAGGATGTATGGAGAGAAAAGTTGAGCACAGGGAGGGGCCCTCTGTCATTTCTGTCACCCCAGCACAGCCATTCCACAGCCACCCCCAGCCCCTTTCTGGAGCAGCTCCCCGAGACAAGCTGGAGCAGCCCTTGGGGTTCGTATCTGTCCCCTGGGCCCTGGTTGGCCTGATTTGTGGTGTGGGAAGAGTGTCGGGGGCCTCTCTGCCCACTGAGGGCAGGACTCTGAGTGGATGGAGGCAGGGTCTCAGGGGAGGGAGGAGGCAGGTCTGGGTATTTGTCCTCATGGGCAGAGACAGGTATGCATGAAGCACTGAAGTCCAGCAACACCACAGGCCCCCAGGAGGCTGGGGGGATTCTTATGCCCCAACCCTCTCCATTAGGCAGAAAGTCCTAGGTCTTGTGAGTGTGGGGTCATGCTAGAGGGAGGCTTTGGGTTCCAGTCCTTCCTCAGTCACACCCTTCCTGGTCCCCAGTGACTGATAGGCCGTCCCTCTTGGGCAGAAATCAGGGCCAAGGGTCAGGATGAAACTGAAGATCAGAGGTGAGTAAGAGACCAAGGACTAGGGGTCAGTTCATGGGCAGGGATAAGGGTCTGTCTGGGAGGAGAGTTGAGGTCATATTGGGGCCAGAGTTTAGCATGCTTGTAGCCAGGAAATGAAGTTACTTACTGTGTAACTCAAACTGCTCCACCCAGTTATTCTGAAATCCATAAACATCACCAAACTGGGGTGGGAGGGGGTGTCAGCCTCCCCCTATTTCCAGTTGTAGTCTGCCCAGATGTAGCTTTCGGGAACTGGGGTTGTCCTGAGTCCCATTAGTAGCAATCTCCTTCAGTGTCTCTGGGTGTTTCTGTGTTTCTGCCTGGGGAAGGAGCCCCGAAGACTTACTGGGCTATGTGTGCATGCCTGATGGCCGCCACCCCCTTCTAGCGGCACGCCTCAGGGAGTCAGTCGGATACTCCTTTGACATCAAGGGATTCAGGTCCTTGCTCCCTCAGGAACTCAGAATGACGACAGTAGAGTCTCAGTGACAACAAAATGCACATGATGAAAGGAACACTGTTCACACCTGTCCAGCTCCCGCCTTTATTGGCCACCTTCCTGGACTTGAGTCTCACCAGTCCCTGTGTGGCCCATTTTACAGGAAAGGACACTGAGGCACAAAGAGGTGACCTCATGCCCTTCAGCCAGGAGCCATCATGGGCCCCCACCAGCCTGAGACCTCAGAGTGGGGCACTCAGTGTGTCACACACTCAGAGATGGGAGTGTGATATGCTGGACAAGCTCCAGAGGACTGGGGAGATGATATCACACTGTTTAGACATGGAATCCAGCTTGAGGGATGACGCCTGAGTCTCTCTTCCTGGAGATTTTGATGGTTTCTCCTCCAGATAAAATAGCCTTGTTTCAAAACGGCCATTCATTCATTCAACAAAGTGTTTTCCCCAGCACATTGGGCAGAATCTGGCACAAAGAAATGCTCAATCAATTCACAAAACAATGTACAGGGCAGCCAGCTTTTCCCTGTGGCTTCTGTCCAGTGGTGTGCTGGTACCTGCCTGACAGTGCCCCTCCCCAGGGAGGAAACCCTGATGTATAGCACTTGCCAGTGTCTGGTGTAAATCGTCCCACCATGGCTGATTTCAGCTACCAGCCTGTGTGGTTGTGTGCAGAACTGGAAGGTGACGCACCCTGTCGGGCCTTGCTTCTGAGCTGGAACCACCCCCAGCACGCCCCTCGGTCACTCTGCGCTGGCTTCTGTTCCTGCCTTTCACTTGCTTTTTCCCAGGGTCACCTGGTTGCTGTATGAGTGCTCACAACCAGCCTCTACTTTTCTCCTGATTCTGATTCCGGGCACCCACCCAACTGTGCACCTCAAATAACAGCAGGACAGTATGTCTGGAAAGCTCCATGGTGCTGACCACATGGGAATATCCTGGACAGGACCTGTCTGGTGTCTTTCCATGAAAGAGCTGGGTTGGGGTGTGTGTGTGTGCGTGTGCGTGTGCGTGTGTGTGTCAGTGCCCAGTTCTGTCTGCCTGTGTTTTGTTAATAAAATTTCCTGACTGGGTCACTGGCCACAAGAGGGAGTGGGCTCTGGGCAGCCCCCACTATTTTTTAGGGGCCACCAGAGGCCCAGAGCTGAGGACAGTAGCTTAGGCCTGAGTATCTGTATTTCTGTCAAGCCCCTGGGAGATGCCAGTGCTGCCATCCAGGGACCAGCCTGAGGACAAAGCTGCCCTCTAGCTTGACCCCCACAACTTCACAGACACAAACTCAAACTCCCCTCATCTTAGCAAAGAAAACAAAAGCCCTCTTGCCCCCTCCAGCTACCGCCCATCGCCCCTGATCTCTGTACCCTCCTCAGATGTGCTGGCTCATCCTCTCCCCTCCACTCCTCCTTCTCCCCTCCCCTAAGTGTACCCAATCCCCATCATTCCACTGCAAGGCGCGTTTCCAGTCTGGGAACAACATCTCCCGGGCTCTAGCTTCACACCGTCTCTTATGATCTTCGTGGAATCATAGCTGGCCCGTCTCCGTCTCCTTGAGCAGCCTCTGCCCTCTGGTCAGCCCTCCCCAGGCTCTCTCTGACCTCTAGATCACACCTGCTCCTCGGTACATTCCCTCTGCAGTATTGAAACTGCTCGCCCACCCTCCGCCAGCCTGCCCTCCGCCAGCCTGCCCTCCGCCAGCCTGCCCTCCGCCAGCCTGCCCTCCGCCAGCCTGCCCTCCGCCAGCCTGCCCTCCGCCAGCATTCTCCGAGTAACTGTCCTGTCCCAGCATGACCCAGCAGCAAAACCTTCATCTCGTCTCCTTCCTAAGCCCCCCATGCCATCCAGACGTCGGCCCTGTCGGTTTTAACCTCTACCTCTTGAGTGTTTTCGCTTCCATCTCAAGGCACACAGCCGCCACCACCATCTGTCCTTGGGCCCGAAGGGCGCCTGCTCCCCTCTTTCCCTAGGCAGTCCATACTCCATGCAGGCGAGGGGGTTTTCCAAAAAAAATTTCGAAAATGTGAATTTAGGCATTTGCTCGCTCCCATTGTAACTTTTCAAGATTGGCTGTCGCCCTTCCTGGAAAGCCAGACCCAAGGCAGACCACCAGGGCTTCCCTGAGGGTGAGCCCAACCAGGCCGCTCTGTGGCCTTGCCCTGCTCCCCTGTCTCTGCCCAGCGGCATCCAGTGGAGACCTCCCCTGTAACCTCATTGACTTGGGTGACTGTCGAACGACTCCAGGTGCCCTGTCAGGCTGTGGGTCCCCAGCCAGGCACAGTGTCTCTGGGCGTCCAGAGTGCCCTAGCACTTGGCACAGAGCAGGCACCTGAAAACAGGTAGAAGCATCCTGATTCCAGCCCAGCAACTCAGAAAAATATTTATGAGACAAGCTGGGACTGTGGGACTTGAACTTTCCATGACGTGAAGGACTCACGGTTCGTTCTGCAATGTGATAATGGTGTTGGCCTTGCTCTTTTGAGTCTGTATGAGTTAGAGAGGCAGACTGAAGAATTTATAGGTGAAACAACAGTGTCTGGGATTTGCTTCAAAGGACTCCAGCCAAAAGTAAGTAAATAAATAAACACTCAGTAAGAGAACAAAGGAACAAATAAATGCCGCTCTGCTTGTCTGTTCCCGTTCAGAGCCACAGGGCCTGCAAAGATGCTGGCGGTCCCGGAGATGGGCCTGCAGGGACTGTACATCGGTAAGACGCAACCTCCCTTCACGGGGCCCCCTGAGTGTGAGAGTGCTCGGGTGCGGGGAGGGACTGTGCGCACGTGTACGTGTGTGTCTGTCGGTGAGATCTCTGCAAGTGTGTGTGTGTGTGTGTGTGTGTGTGCGTGTGTGTCTGCCTGCCTGCGGCCTGGTCTGGGAGCAGGTTCTGGGTTCTCTGCGGGGGTGGGAGGCCAGGAGGCAGGAGGAACACTCCTCAGGAAGTCCATTCACAAAGACCTGGCGGGCTGGGCCCTTCCTTCCTGCCTCCCTTCCCAGGCTCGAGCCACAGCAGCTTGGCCCTTCAAGCTAGAACTGGTGTCAGGGCCTGAGCCTGTATTGTCTGCCTGAGAAAAGGAGGCGTTGGGAATGGGACCACAATCCCTGCACCTCCAGGACTTCCTAAGGCTCCCCTCATGTACAGTCCCCAGCATGTGCTCCAGGGTGCCCCCAGGCCAAGAAGGACTAGACCTGTGTGGGCCACAGGATCATGCAGCTACTGAGGAAGCAGAGACCTGGCCCTGGCTCAGCCTGAAACCATGGGTCTGTTCGATGTACTCGTGGGTCTTCACACTGGACCCCATTCTGTCTCCTGCCTGAATCTCAGGGCAGCCCCAGTGTGATCTGCAGAGGCGAAAACCAGTGTGGTCACTGGCCCCCAGCCCATACTGGGGGGTGTTTTGCCCCCTCCTCCTGAACCTCCAGCAGGCTTGGGGCTGCCTCTGGGGCTGTCCTGCTTCTCCCACCAAGGGTCCTGCTCAGTCCTGAGCCTGGAGAGGGTCTCAGCTGAGCCCCGGCCCCGGAATGTGGGCTCCCAATGTGTGTGTTATAGGGAAGAGAAACTGGAATCCAGCTTCCTAGTGTTGTGGACATCCCTCAGCTCAGGACTGGGCTGGGGGAGGTGCCACCCTCCTCCCCCCACGCCCCACCACCCCCTGATCTTTACCAGACAGCCAGCTGGGCCTGTCTGTGGCTCTTGGAAGGAGGGAAGGGGTCGCTCCCTCCAGTCCTAATTAGAACCATGTGAGTGAATTTTGGAGGGGAGGGAGCAGCCCCACCTCCCAGGTTAGGTCTGTAGTTCCCCCAGCTATTCTGGTTTCTCCACCCCCACCCCAGGAACCCACCTGCCCAATCTCTCCTGCTCTTCTCTCTGAACTCAGCCTCCCCCACACCCCGCAATGCTTCTCCGTCTCTCCCCTCCCCATGTATCCGAGGGGTGCTGGGGTGACCCAGTGAGACAAGGGTCACCCTCCAGGTATAGATTGCCTCTCCCTGACAACTGACCCTCATCCACCCCTCTCAGCCACCTTCCCCCAGCTGGGTGCCCCTTGCTTTAACCTAGCAAGGACTGATAGGGAACTTCCCAGTGCCAGTCCTGGGACTCAGCCACCAGCTCCCTACCTGATTGTGCCAGAGTAACCTGTCTTCTCTTTCCAGGCTCCAGCCCAGAGCGCTCCCCAGTATCCAGCCCACCCGGCTCCCCAAGGACCCAGGAAAGCTGTGGCATTGCCCCCCTCACACCTTCGCAATCGCCTGTAAGCCCAGAGCAGGGGTCAGGGCTGTGGGTGATGTGGAGGTGGGTCCGGAGAGCAAGGCCAGGTGCCTGGCAGGCCCTGCAGGGTGGGAGTAAGGCCCACTGCCCACCCCTGCAGTCAGGCTTCCCCTGGAGCGTGGCGGCCCTGGGCAGTAGGGATGATAGTTCTGTAGAGGTGTGCCCAGGAACCAACACCCAAACTAGGGGTAACAGTTGTGCTGATTGAGTTCAGGTAACCAGTGCTCAGAAACCCCCCCAGAATGGCGGGGGGAGCATTGTAGCTAGCCTGCCCTGGACGAGTATCCATCTGAGCCAGAAGTTCTTCCAGGCTCTAGGAGCATTGGACTTTGCACAGTTGCTCCCCCTCCTGAAAACCCCCATAATTCAAGATTTATCTGTAGAAGAGATGTTGCAAAAAAACAAAAAACAAAAAAAAAACCCTATGAGCTTGAAATATCCAAGACATCCTCCGCGGGTCACTCCACCGAGGATGAACTTCATCCTCCCTGACTCCTTGTGCCCCAGGAGACCAGGCCTGACCTGGAGAAAGCCTGACCCATGGGCTTGTGCCTGGGCCTCTCTGCTCTGCACAGCGGAGCCGCAGACAGGGTCTGCTTGTGCCTCTGACCACAGAGAGCAAAGGGTCAAGTATGGCAGGTCCATGCACTAGGAAGCTGCAGAAGGAGCGAAATAGCTCCCAGCTGGTACCAGGCTGTGGCGTGGCTGATTTGTGGGCGGAGCTGAGGCAGTCTAGGCAGAAGGTAGGTGGAGAATCAGGAGCAGGAAAAGGGGAACTGAACCAAAACCCGCGCACAGGGCTCTCCAAGAGCCTTGGGCTTTCTGAGCAGTTGGCATCCCCAGGCTTAGCCTCAGACTAAGGGGGAGCCTAGGCAGCCAGCCAGCCAAGTGGGGTACGCCGGTCTGAACCACAGCACAGAGGAGAGGGCTCGCTCGCCTGACCCTGTGGGCTGGTCGGTGACTGTAGGTCTTGCCCTTGCAGAAGCCTGAGGCCCGAACCCCTCAGCGGGCCCCCTTCTCCGTGGTGGTAGCCATTGACTTTGGCACCACATCCAGTGGCTATGCCTTCAGCTTTGCCAGTGACCCTGAGGCCATCCACATGATGAGGTGAGGCCGTCTGGACTGGGAGAGTGAGTGTGTTGGGGGGGCTTGGGGGGTTCCTCACCCTAATATGGACCAAGACCACTTTCCACGGGCTCCCTGCTGGGGCAGAAGGTCAGAGTATGGACCAGGGACCTGGGCCGCAGCCACATGGGAGCGACTCCCTGTCCTCTGCAGGAAATGCTGGGCTTTGTTTAATTTCAAAACTTTTATTGAAAAAATAAAAGTACAGTATTTTATTGAGCTCTAATAATAAAAAAAATGCACACGTCTTTTTCTGGGCTGTATTATACATAAACACACATATGTGTTCATATATAGGATATCAAATAACTTGGCTTATTTTAAACTTCCAACACTATTTTGTAGATGTCCCATGTCATTAATAGAGCTACCACTTTGTTTTAATTGTTGCATAGTGTTCCACAGTATAGCTGTACTAATGCATCCGTTGTGCTATGGATAGTTTTAGAGTTTTATTTTCCTCTAATGTTTCACTGGTACACAATGCACCTCAGGAATGTCCTTTGAAAACTGATGCTGGCATTTCTATGGAGCAGGTTCCTAGGTCTGACATCTCAAATGAAAAAAAAAGGGAATGAAGAATCAGAGGGTTAACTGAGTTAATAAGTCTCACAGACAGATGTTTCAGAGAAATCCATTCTGATGCCCCCAAATGTTTTGCTTAAACATAATATTTGACATTCTCCAGACTTCAAACCCTTATCATTTGAAAGTATCTTAGTGAGGCTGTGGCCAGTAGGTGGCGCTATAGAAGACACCCCACAGCTCCATTGCAGTCTGGCTTGAGGAGTCAGGATGACTTCCCTGTGGCTGGGGAGGCTAGATGGAATCTGTATGGAGAGACACACAGACGTTCAGTGACCCAAAGCTAGAAGGGACTTCGCCTGCATGAGCCTGGACCATCCTCCTTGCTGTGTTCCCTCCATGAGGCCACAAAGGCTCTGGGCACCACAGCCCTCAGGGCCACAGGGCATCCCAGCTAGTACACTCCTCTGCATAACCGCTGAGCCCCATGCTTGGGCTGAGGACACATAAAGGGACACTGACCGCACTGACGAGGTGATATCACAGGAAATACTGGGGAACATCCTGGCCTCTCCCCAAGCCCCCCCTTTTAGCCTCCACCAGCCGCCAAGCCCTGTCATTTCTGTGTCTCCTTAATATCTGTGGAACATCCATCCACTTCTCTCCACCACCAACCTGATGTCCAGCCCCCTCTCTCATCGCAACCTGGATGGTTGCAGTGTGCTCCTCCCTGGTTTTCCTTCTCTATCCTCCCTTCTCTAGTTCTTTGCTACCTGGGGACTTTCTAAAAGCAAACGTGGCCATACCTCTTCACTCTTTGATTTAAAACGCACCAAGGCAGAATTCTGGCGGGCAGGTGATGCTCTTCTTTATCTAACATTAACATTAGTGCGTTTTCTCCTGCTGCGTAGTGAGCCAGCCGGTTCTGCTGATCCTTTCACATCTCTGAACTTTTGTACATGCTCTTCCTGCTGCCTGGATTCTCAGCTACTACCCCAAAAGGCTGTAGTGGTGAGCCTGGCCTAGAGGGGCTGGGGTATCAGAGAAGGCAGAGGAAGGGACGGCCATGCCAAGCTTATGAACTGGACAGGGGTTCTAGGTGGAGATTCCCGTGGTGCTTTTAGAATTGGGAAGTTGGGAAATTCATTTAGGTTGTGGACCCTGGCCAAGGTGTAGCCAACGAGGGTGTAGCTGCCAAGGTGGATCAGATCCAAATGGTCTTTAAAAGCCTGGAAGATCTTGGCTGTGGAAGAGGATCTAGACGCGGGCAAACTGGCTGGCTGGGAAAAGGCCTCTGCCAGGGTCCTGGAGAAACATCCAGGAGACTGGACCAGGCAGGTGGATGATGGCTTGCTGCTGCTGCTGCTGCTGCTATTACCAGTGCAGGTAAGGTTGGGGACCTCACAGGAAGGCAGTAGAGCTGAGGATGTCAGGGCCCCGTGGATGGGGAGGATCCCATGAGCAGCACTGATGGGGACTTAAGTGGCTACCAAGCACCTACTTCACAAGAGCAATAAGAGGTAGGTACCATTATGCCTTCCGGCGTACAGACAGGAAGACCAAGCTGGGGAGGCTAAGTGGCCTGCACAAGGTCACTGCCAGCTGGCCCCAGTGTCAGGCCAGCCCCGCAGAGCGAGGGGTGCTGCTCATCACGCTGACGGCTCTGTGCCTCCGTAGGAAATGGGAGGGCGGCGACCCGGGTGTCGCCCACCAGAAGACCCCCACCTGCCTGCTGCTGACGCCAGAGGGTGCCTTTCACAGCTTTGGCTACACGGCCCGAGATTACTACCACGATTTGGACCCTGAGGAGGCGCGAGACTGGCTCTATTTCGAGAAGTTCAAGATGAAGATTCACAGTGCCACTGTGAGTCAGTCACACCCTGGCGCTGGACGGCACCGGGAGGGACGCAGGCAGGGCCGAAGCTGGGTGGGAAAAGCATGAAGATGAGGAGGGGCCTTGTGGAAAGGGGGCCTCCGCAGAAGGAAAGGGATCCCGGGTGTGGTGTGGGCGACGCTCGGGTGTGGGCGGTGCTCTGTGGTGGGCGGAGCTCTGGAGTGGGCGGGGCTCGAGTGGGCGGGGCGGGGCGCAGGGCAGGTGCTGGGAACCGGACTGATAAAAGAGTGGGGCATGGCTCAGGTGGCGGGGACCACCAAGAAATGGGGTGCTTTTATGAAAGAGGTTGTCCGGAAGTGGAGGCAGTGCTATGGCCTCCTGCGAGCCGCCTGTGTCCCTGCCAGGATCTCACCCTGAAGACCCAGCTAGAGGCGGTAAATGGAAAGAGAATGCCTGCGCTCGAGGTGTTCGCCCACGCCCTGCGCTTCTTCAAGGAGCACGCGCTTCAGGTGGGTGTGGCCTAGCCCTGCCTGCGGGGGGCCCCCCATATTCCCTTCTTTTCTGCACAACCCACCTTCTCATCCCAAGTCTTTACATTCCATGGGCAGCCACGGTCAGCAGTCAAAGGTCACCTGTCCCAGGCCCTTCCCTTTCTTACACAAATGGTGTAAGGGGGCAAAGAGGGGCAATCTGGGATTCTGTCAGCTCAGCTGGGAAGTCCCTCCTGAGAGAGCTAAAGGCACCCCCCCCCATTCCTGCTGCAGGAGCTGAGAGAGCAGTGCCCGTCACTACCGGAGAAGGACGCTGTGCGCTGGGTGCTGACGGTCCCAGCCATCTGGAAACAGCCCGCCAAGCAGTTCATGCGGGAGGCTGCCTACCTGGTGAGCCGGGCAGCCAGAGCAGTGTGGTCCTTCACCCCATCACCCTCCCACCATACAGCCACTGTGTGAAGACCTCCAGCCTGCCCCGGCTAGGCATTTTGGAGGGCTGTGGGGCCTACAGGAAGAGGACAGAGGGATTAGAACCCGAGCCCTGGCCAGCTTAGCCAGTGTCCTAAGTCAGGTTTTGCAGAAGCAGAGCCCAGGATAGGGATTCTGTGGACATGTGGTCTCAGCTGGACTCTAGCTTCAGCCTGATCTCATGGAGAGTTCTGGGGGGAGAACTGTACCCCAGAGTTGGGGGGAGGTGAGGTAAGGGGAGGGCCTATCAGTCTGTCAGTGGTCAGTGGCTGTGGGCTGGGAGCACGCCGCTCAGCAAGTGGGGCAGTTCCCAGGCAGCTGAGGACACTTCTGCAGAGAAGAGGGCGCTATGAGGCGGCAGCAGCCAGCACTCACAATAGCTGGGCAGGGCACAAGCTGGCATCAGTATTTTCCACCACCACTGGCCCCCCAACTACTATAGGTTCTTGAGCAAAGAAATAGCACTATGAAAGGGGGTGATTTTAGACAGTGTTGGTGGGTCTTCCTATCATTAGAGATGCCTAAGGGTCTGGAGAAAGGGGGGGTGCAGCTCTGGCACCTCCCTCTCCAGTGGAGATGGACAGGGGCAGGGAGGGTGGTGGGTGCAGACTACCAGAGAAACTCATTGTTTGGGGCCTTTGGGAAGACCTTTTTGGGACCTCCAAAAGGAAGCTGTGGTCCCAGTGGGCCCCCTTGGAGGACATCAGGGCCCCACACACACACCTGTAGACCAGGCATGCCCCAGTCCCCAGATGCCAGGTGCCTGCTCCTGTCACTGGAAGGAGCTAATCCTGAACCTAGTGGGCGACCCCCTGCAGAGACCAGGCTGAAAGCAGACCCAGTCAGGACAAACAGTCTGCCCCCTAGTGCCCTGCCAGTTTACCCACTCTGCTTCCTCCCGCACTGTTCCCTGGCTGCCAGCTCAGGAAGGGTTGGCCCTGGGCAGGAAGTCTCCATGCCCATCCCCTCCCCATCCCCCATCTGGTCAGAAGCCAGGGAATCCCACAAACCCATTAGTATTTCCCATGAGGATCCCCCATCCTGATGCAGGAAGTAACAGCTCCCAAGCGTTTTTCTCTCCCTAACCAGCCTGTCCTAGCGCCTGGAATTTTACTGTTTTAATTTCCTTCCTTTGATATCACATTCCCTGGAACAAAATTCTCCTGTGACAGGCAGCCTGTGTCCATTGTCTGACATCAGTCTGCTAGAGGAAGAGGGTTCAGTGAGCCAAAGGGGACCCCACACCTCTCCTCGGCTTGGTGGTCTAGCCATTTTGCACACGCACGCACGCACGCACGCACGCATGTACACGTGTGTGCAGCATCAAACTTTCAGCCAGTGCTCAGCTGGCAGCCCCGAGTCTGTGACGGGCACCTTGTTGCATGCAGCCCTTTGGGCAGCTCAGGATCACAGACCCCAGAGACCCCAGGTTTTTCTCTAAAGTCTCTTCCTCCTGGGCAATGTTGTATGTCCCTGGTCATGATCAGGTGTCTGGTCACAGGGTGGCTGAGGCAGCTTCAGATTTGTGCAGCATAGAGGGGCCGAGGCTTAGCACATGGGGGTTGGAGGAGGAGGTGAGAGCCCCACGGGCCCTGGTTCCCTGCCCTTGGGTGCCCTCTTAGGTGTCACAGCCCATGATGACCCTAGCCCTGCCTCCTCAGGCTGGCCTGGTGTCGAGAGAGGATGCAGAGCAACTACTCATCGCCCTGGAGCCCGAGGCTGCCTCTGTCTACTGTCGAAAGCTGCGTCTGCACCAGCTCTTGGACCTGAGCAGCCGGGCCCCAGGTCACGGGCGCCTGGGCGAGCGTCGCTCCATCGACTCCAGCTTCCGCCAGGGTGAGCCACCCCTGGACTGCCCAGCTTAGGCTTGGAGGCAGTTACCCTGGAGGGTCAGTGTCACTGAGGTCAGTGGCTTAGCTACAAAGCCTGGAGGGAGCCACGTTGAGAGGCAGAAACATCCCTGGTGAGTTCAATCTGAAGGAAGAAACACAGCCCTGACCTGGGGTAACCCGCTCTGAGGGCAGATTTCACCTTCCCTCCAGGGAGCACTCAGAGTGGGAGCCCTGAGTGGGGGTGGAGAGCAGAAGACACAGCCCAGCCTCTGTGGAGCTGCCTGATATCTAGGCAGAGGTCAGTCCCCTCTCGGCCCAAGGTGCCAGCTCCAGGAGCTTTCCTTAACCAGCCACTGGACCAGCTGACCCCTACTCCCTGGCACATCAGCTGTCCCCCAAATCAAATGTAAGCACCGGCCTCAGTCAGTCCAGGCACTGAAACAGCTATGGTCAGCTTTGGTCACCCAGATGTCATCTCCACAACAGGGACAAGTCCCAAGCTCCTCCAGGTCCCCAGAGAAAACCTCCCTGATGATGCAGGGGTTAAATTTCAGCACTGTGAAGCTGTCCTCAGCCACAGTCCGGGGCCAGGGAGCTGACTCACATAGCCCAGCAGACCTCTCCTGTCCTGCCCACTGCTTCCCCTCAGCAGTGCATTTCAATCAGTCTGCCTGTTCTGCTCCCCACTCTGTCTGGTGAATCCTCTCACTACCCCTCCCCACCCCCCACTCCTGTAAGCATAAAAAAAAGAAAAACACAGAAAGCTCCAAGCCCTCCTCCCCCTGATTTTGCTGTGACCTGAGCCCTAGTGCATTAAGGGACCACAGAAGTGTCCAGAAATATTCCTCCCAGCACCTGAAACTATCCCCTATAGTTTCCTTGGACCCTTTGGAGTTCAGCATTGCCCTCTCCAGTTAGGAATGGAGCAGAAGTTTCAAGAACACAGGCAGCTCCAGGAGCTCATGGAAACTCCAGGAGCTCATGGAAGGCTTTGGCAAGGGGTGGGGTGGAATGTGGTGGCTTAGCCATCTCCTCCTAACCTGACTGTCCTGCTGTGACCCCCAGCCCGAGAACAGCTGCGAAGGTCCCGCCACAGCCGTACCTTCCTGGTGGAGTCAGGTGTCGGAGAGCTGTGGGCAGAGTTGCAAGCAGGTGGGCACAGGGGGAGTTGGAGGGATGTTTCTTGGACCCCGCAGGACACCGTATTCTGATCCCGGAGAAGCAGACATTGAAACAGCACCAGCCCCTAGAAAACTGGGCCCCTCCTCCACCCACTGTTTGTGCGGTGCCTTCAGTCACCTGCACTGCCACTCACTCTTAGCCTGTGTCCTACTGCCCTTTCCTCCTGGGGACTCTCCACAGCGGGAGTTGCAGAGCCCGCTGGAAATATTTTCCCCCACGCTTACCCAGGGGCCTGAGCTGAAGCCTGAAGTGCCTCACCCCCC